AGAATGAAGGTTGAGATCAGGGTTGTATATTGTCACAGAGAAATGGCGTCATGTGGAGGGACTAGTTTGTGGTCCGGATGTCTCACCATGTCAAGGTCACGCGGCCCGGAGAGTGACCACATTAGTAATTCGTAAAATTATAAAAGCAGACCACTAGCCAATACTGTAATTGGAAATAGCCTTTCCCTAAGATGCCTAATTTAATTACCACCAGTTAAATGATAATTCAACCATCTGGGGTTGCCAGTAATTAGGGTTAGTTTGTTCAAGTTAAACCCTGCTTGGTAAATTGATAAACCTGGCGGATTAATACTTACTAGCCTAGATCAGTCCTTAGCTGAGAACAGGCTAGACTGTGTGGTTTTGGGCAGCAACTGGAGAGGTCAGCCATTCTCACCTCTCCAGAGAACAGCACTCCATCGGCTGGTTTCATAGTTCAAGGTAAAAGTTGCTGAGTTTTGGTATAGGAAAATGATTTCATTCGTGCCTCAATAGGGAATATTAAAAGTTTAGGAACCTAAGTCCTGTTAGAGTGTTAAGTCAGGAAGTGATTTTTATTAGTGGCTTCTGGTAGATTTTACACAAATAAACTGATCAGATTATTTCTCAGTAATTTATTATTTCCATGAATGATTTTACATGTGATGGTCCTCGCCATTTGGTCTCCACGAGTCTGGGTTTATTTGGGTCGTAAGCCTGGCCCAGCTCAAGAGCTAATATTCTTTGCAAGTAAATTCCCACACTTGACGTAACTAATACCTCCCGTTCCACGAAATTGGGGATAACTTATCCCCAAGGATTAAGAGTTAATTAATTGGTCCGGACCACAATTAATTGACAGCATTGATCACATGGTCTGGTGGTGGCAGTGATTAAGATCCTTGAGTTTGTTAGAAAGCCGAATATCGACGTCACGAGTTGTGTAGAATCTTAGCCGATCAAACGGCTAAGTCCACGTGGCGTGGGACTCACCTGCTGGCACAGGACTCACCTGCTGGCACGGGACTCACCTGCTGGCACGGGACTCACCTGCTGGCACGGGACTCACCTGCTGGCACGGGACTCACCTGCTGGCACGGGACTCACCTGCTGGCACGGGACTCACCTGAGGCACGGGACTCACCTGCTGGCACGGGACTCACCTGCTGGCACGGGTGTAATAACCCTAATTGTAATATCTCGCCTCGTATCTATCTCGACCGCGCACTCCGCTACTACCACTGAGCTAACCGTGCAATCTCCGCTCTTTCTATGGTAATAACAGATGCTATACCGATCATGTAAGATGTTAACACTCGGGCCGTCATACGAAGACGTAAACCAGTACACAGAGGAAGGGGAGAGAGAGAGAGGAAGAGGGAGGCAGAGAATGAGGAGAGAGAGAGAGAGGAAGAGGGAGGCAGAGAATGAGGAGAGAGAGAGGAGAGAGCGAGAACGAGAGCAAGGGGGGGAGAACGAGAGCGAGTGAGGGCGAGGGAGAGTGAGACACTAGTGAGGGAGAGTGAGACAGAAAGATAGAGGTAATCGTAGTCACAGCCTATCGTATGAGTTACCGAGTGGCGCTGCCACCACCCTGAGTTACCGGACAGGGGACCGGAGTGAGATTCGTAGGTCTTGCAGATGGAATAACCTACCAGGACAGGTGTAGGGGACAATTGAACGGTACAAGGATCCTGGCCTGACACTCGAATAATCCTGACCACTTGGGAACTATGGTGTACACAAGAATAAGGCGGGACACACCAATACTAACACCTCAACACGGAAGGCGAACGGGGGGAGGAGTACTGAATAATTAAGAGCACTAGGTCACTAGGGCAAAAGGGACGGTAGGCCCAATATCACTAGGCAAGGAACCATTAATACCCATTTAATAACACTTAATATCTGACTTTATTAAAAATAATTAAATAAGACACTCCCTAACTATATTCCCTACTAGAGGCCAAGAGTACTGAATGAGGTGCTTTAGTACAAGAGAGCCGTACTTACTCATATGTTGTTCCACCGTTTCCGGGAGATGATGTTCCTTCCCCGAGTCCACACCCACCTTCCTACTGGGCTGCGCCCACTCTACTGACTCTCCCCTGATCTGCTGCTCCTCAGCTGAACATGAGGGTTTTGCATTTGTTGTTTAGGGGTTAATCCCTGAAGATTACCATGACGGCATCAATTCTGACCTCTTTGTGATTCGATGACCGTTGACCTGACTCTATGGCTAACTTGTACAGAGGTGTAACTTTTACATTGTCTGCCGCCGCCTGTCTGGCGCCTGTGGGTTGTTCATCCTCCACGTGGCCTGTTCATGCTGTTATGATGTCCATGTACTATGTACTGCTCTCTTGTTACACGGGACTCACCTGAGGCACGGGACTCACCTGAGGCACGGGACTCACCTGCTGGCACGGGACTCACCTGAGGCACGGGACTCACCTGCTGGCACGGGACTCACCTGAGGCACGGGACTCACCTGCTGGCACGGGACTCACCTGAGGCACGGGACTCACCTGCTGGCACGGGACTCACCTGAGGCACGGGACTCACCTGCTGGCACGGGACTCACCTGAGGCACGGGACTCACCTGCTGGCACGGGACTCACCTGAGGCACGGGACTCACCTGAGGCACGGGACTCGCCTGAGGCACGGGACTCACCTGCTGGCACGGGACTCACCTGAGGCACGGGACTCACCTGCTGGCACGGGACTCACCTGAGGCACGGGACTCACCTGAGGCACGGGACTCGCCTGAGGCACGGGACTCACCTGCTGGCACGGGACTCACCTGAGGCACGGGACTCGCCTGCTGGCACGGGACTCACCTGAGGCACGGGACTCACCTGAGGCACGGGACTCACCTGAGGCACGGGACTCACCTGAGGCACGGGACTCACCTGAGGCACGGGACTCGCCTGCTGGCACGGGACTCACCTGCTGGCACGGGACTCACCTGAGGCACGGGACTCACCTGAGGCACGGGACTCGCCTGCTGGCACGGGACTCGCCTGCTGGCACGGGACTCGCCTGCTGGCACGGGACTCACCTGAGGCACGGGACTCGCCTGCTGGCACGGGACTCGCCTGCTGGCACGGGACTCGCCTGCTGGCACGGGACTCGCCTGAGGCACGGGACTCGCCTGAGGCACGGGACTCACCTGCTGGCACGGGACTCGCCTGCTGGCACGGGACTCGCCTGCTGGCACGGGACTCGCCTGAGGCACGGGACTCGCCTGCTGGCACGGGACTCGCCTGAGGCACGGGACTCACCTGCTGGCACGGGACTCGCCTGAGGCACGGGACTCACCTGAGGCACGGGACTCGCCTGCTGGCACGGGACTCGCCTGCTGGCACGGGACTCACCTGCTGGCACGGGACTCGCCTGAGGCACGGGACTCACCTGCTGGCACGGGACTCGCCTGCTGGCACGGGACTCACCTGAGGCACGGGACTCACCTGCTGGCACGGGACTCGCCTGCTGGCACGGGACTCACCTGAGGCACGGGACTCGCCTGCTGGCACGGGACTCGCCTGCTGGCACGGGACTCGCCTGAGGCACGGGACTCGCCTGCTGGCACGGGACTCGCCTGAGGCACGGGACTCACCTGCTGGCACGGGACTCGCCTGCTGGCACGGGACTCACCTGAGGCACGGGACTCGCCTGCTGGCACGGGACTCGCCTGCTGGCACGGGACTCACCTGAGGCACGGGACTCGCCTGCTGGCACGGGACTCGCCTGAGGCACGGGACTCACCTGCTGGCACGGGACTCGCCTGCTGGCACGGGACTCACCTGAGGCACGGGACTCGCCTGCTGGCACGGGACTCGCCTGCTGGCACGGGACTCACCTGAGGCACGGGACTCGCCTGCTGGCACGGGACTCGCCTGCTGGCACGGGACTCGCCTGCTGGCACGGGACTCGCCTGAGGCACGGGACTCGCCTGCTGGCACGGGACTCGCCTGCTGGCACGGGACTCGCCTGCTGGCACGGGACTCGCCTGCTGGCACGGGACTCGCCTGCTGGCACGGGACTCGCCTGCTGGCACGGGACTCGCCTGAGGCACGGGACTCACCTGCTGGCACGGGACTCGCCTGCTGGCACGGGACTCATCTGAGGCACGGGACTCGCCTGCTGGCACGGGACTCGCCTGCTGGCACGGGACTCGCCTGCTGGCACGGGACTCGCCTGAGGCACGGGACTCGCCTGAGGCACGGGACTCACCTGCTGGCACGGGACTCGCCTGAGGCACGGGACTCACCTGCTGGCACGGGACTCGCCTGAGGCACGGGACTCGCCTGCTGGCACGGGACTCGCCTGCTGGCACGGGACTCACCTGCTGGCACGGGACTCGCCTGAGGCACGGGACTCGCCTGCTGGCACGGGACTCGCCTGCTGGCACGGAACTCACCTGCTGGCACGGGACTCGCCTGAGGCACGGGACTCACCTGCTGGCACGGGACTCGCCTGCTGGCACGGGACTCGCCTGCTGGCACGGGACTCGCCTGCTGGCACGGGACTCGCCTGCTGGCACGGGACTCGCCTGAGGCACGGGACTCACCTGAGGCACGGGACTCACCTGCTGGCACGGGACTCGCCTGCTGGCACGGGACTCGCCTGCTGGCACGGGACTCGCCTGCTGGCACGGGACTCGCCTGCTGGCACGGGACTCGCCTGAGGCACGGGACTCGCCTGAGGCACGGGACTCGCCTGAGGCACGGGACTCGCCTGAGGCACGGGACTCGCCTGCTGGCACGGGACTCACCTGAGGCACGGGACTCACCTGCTGGCACGGGACTCACCTGAGGCACGGGACTCGCCTGAGGCACGGGACTCGCCTGCTGGCACGGGACTCGCCTGCTGGCACGGGACTCGCCTGAGGCACGGGACTCACCTGCTGGCACGGGACTCACCTGCTGGCACGGGACTCACCTGCTGGCACGGGACTCACCTGCTGGCACGGGACTCACCTGCTGGCACAGGACTCACCTGCTGGCACAGGACTCACCTGCGGGTGTTAGACTGGATCTTGAGCCCCATACTCTCAACAATGGGGTCACCTTCAGCTCTCCTGATGATGGTTAAGATCTGAAACAAGGAAGATCACTTTCACTGATCAATACGTATTGATCAACAAAAATAGTCACACCATGAATTCTATCCACATATTATATGTCTCAATTACTTAATTATTCACCGTGCAGCGTTCCAAATAGTAAACAACTGTTTCTTGTGATTGAGACCAATAAAATTATACATTAATTAACACCTTTCTCTCTTCGTTCATAAATGGACTGAATTTACACTGGTACGAGTGACGTTACTTGTCACTGAGCAGGGAGAGGGACCGGCTAGTATTAGGAGACTAGTGTGGTTCTCGTCAGGTGCTGGCAGATGCACCTGACTGGTCACTCGTCACCTGTGTGTAGGTGACCTGCGCCTGGTCACTCGTCACCTGCGAGTGACCAGCAGGTCAACGCCACCTGCTGCCACATCCTCCTATTACGAGACCCCTCGTCCAGGTTGCATTTAAACGTTTCTACTTTTATTCTCGAGTGCGGGAAAATTAGCGATTCAGCTGGGTTACGAGGCATGATTGATGACAGAACAGAGCGAGCCTCTTGCAGCTCTTTGTTAGATAACTTGCAGATCTGTCTAATAATACCAACATCATTGGCATTATTAGGCTGTAGCAACTGTTACGTTGTGATATTCGGGCAGATCTTCAGTGACGACCTGAGAGACGAGTCTACCCGTGTCACCACGCGAGAGTGTGGCCACGCAGTAACCACGAGGCTCACAGTGTTTATCTGGCGCTTTATGTGGAAATCTAGACAGATAAACTCGCTTAGTATTTCACTTAACAACAAGTGGATTAGTAAACTAACCAATATAATTAATTGTTACAAATCAATGATTTACGGTTGATATTTTATTATTAAATAAACCAGCCATTTTATGTGTACAAAATAACGCCCAGGAGAAGATGGAATTAACCATAGAGTCCGCTTCATACGGTCCACTCATTTAAATGAATCTAAATTAACAAATTACCTGCTGGGAAATTAACCATAGTAGAGGTGGTCTGTGGTGGTAGTGGTGGTCTGTGGTGGTAGTGGTGGTCTGTGGTGGTAGTGGTGGTCTGTGGTGGTAGTGGTGGTCTGTGGTGGTAGTGGTGGTCTGTGGTGGTAGTGGTGGTCTGTGGTGGTAGTGGTGGTCTGTGGTGGTAGTGGTGGTCTGTGGTGGTAGTGGTGGTAGTGGTGGTCTGTGGTGGTAGTGGTGGTCTGTGGTGGTAGTGGTGGTCTGTGGTGGTAGTGGTGGTGGTCTGTGGTGGTAGTGGTGGTCTGTGGTGGTAGTGGTGGTCTGTGGTAGTGGTGGTCTGTGGTGGTAGTGGTGGTCTGTGGTGGTAGTGGTGGTCTGTGGTGGTAGTGGTGGTCTGTGGTGGTAGTGGTGGTCTGTGGTGGTAGTGGTGGTAGTGGTGGTCTGTGGTGGTAGTGGTGGTCTGTGGTGGTAGTGGTGGTCTGTGGTGGTAGTGGTGGTGGTCTGTGGTGGTAGTGGTGGTCTGTGGTGGTAGTGGTGGTCTGTGGTAGTGGTGGTGGTCTGTGGTAGTAGTGGTGGTCTGTGGTAGTAGTGGTGGTCTGTGGTTGTAGTAGTGGTGGTCTGTGGTAGTAGTGGTGGTGGTCTGTGGTAGTAGTGGTGGTGGTCTGTGGTAGTAGTGGTGGTCTGTGGTAGTAGTGGTGGTGGTCTGTGGTAGTAATGGTGGTTTGCGGTGGTAGTGGTGGTCTGTGGTAGTAGTGGTGGTCTGTGGTAGTAGTGGTGGTCTGTGGTAGTAGTGGTGGTCTGGTAGTAGTGGTGGTCTGTGGTAGTAGTGGTGGTCTGTGGTAGTGGTGGTGGTCTGTGGTAGTGGTGGTGGTCTGTGGTAGTAGTGGTGGTCTGTGGTTGTAGTGGTGGTCTGTGGTAGTAGTGGTGGTCTGTGGTAGTGGTGGTGGTCTGTGGTAGTGGTGGTGGTCTGTGGTAGAAGTGGTGGTCTGTGGTTGTAGTGGTGGTCTGTGGTAGTAGTGGTGGTCTGTGGTAGTAATGGTGGTTTGCGGTGGTAGTGGTGGTCTGTGGTAGTAGTGGTGGTCTGTGGTAGTGGTGGTGGTGGACTGTGGTAGTAGTGGTGGTCTGTGGTTGTAGTGGTGGTCTGTGGTAGTAGTGGTGGTCTGTGGTTGTAGTGGTGGTCTGTGGTAGTAGTGGTGGTCTGTGGTTGTAGTGGTGGTCTGTGGTAGTAGTGGTGGTCTGTGGTAGTAGTGGTGGTCTGTGGTAGTAGTGGTGGTCTGTGGTAGTAGTGATGGTCTGTGGTAGTAGTGGTGGTCTGTGGTAGTAGTGGTGGTCTGTGGTAGTAGTGGTGGTCTGTGGTAGTAGTGGTGGTCTGTGGAAGTAGTGGTGGTCTGTGGTAGTAGTGGTGGTCTGTGGTAGTAGTGGTGGTCTGTGGTAGTAGTGGTGGTCTGTGGTTGTAGTGGTGGTCTGTGGAAGTAGTGGTGGTCTGTGGTAGTAGTGGTGGTCTGTGGTAGTAGTGGTGGTCTGTGGTAGTAGTGATGGTCTGTGGTAGTAGTGGTGGTCTGTGGTAGTAGTGGTGGTCTGTGGTTGTAGTGGTGGTCTGTGGTAGTAGTGGTGGTCTGTGGTAGTAGTGGTGGTCTGTGGTAGTGATGGTGGTGGTCTGTGGTAGTAGTGGTGGTCTGTGGTTGTAGTGGTGGTCTGTGGTAGTAGTGGTGGTCTGTGGTAGTAGTGGTGGTCTGTGGTAGTAGTGGTGGTCTGTGGTAGTAGTGGTGGTCTGTGGTAGTGGTGGTCTGTGGTAGTAGTGGTGGTCTGTGGTAGTAGTGGTGGTCTGTGGTAGTAGTGGTGGTCTGTGGTAGTAGTGGTGGTCTGTGGTAGTAGTGGTGGTCTGTGGTAGTAGTGGTGGTCTGTGGTAGTAGTGGTGGTCTGTGGTAGTAGTGGTGGTCTGTGGTAGTAGTGATGGTCTGTGGTTGTAGTGGTGGTCTGTGGTGGTAGTGATGGTCTGTGGTGGTAGTGGTGGTCTGTGGTTGTAGTGGTGGTCTGTGGTAGTAGTGATGGTCTGTGGTGGTAGTGGTGGTCTGTGGTTGTAGTGGTGGTCTGTGGTAGTAGTGGTGGTCTGTGGTGGTAGTGGTGGTCTGTGGTAGTAGTGGTGGTCTGTGGTATTAGTGGTGGTCTGTGGTGGTAGTGGTGGTCTGTGGTAGTAGTGGTGGTCTGTGGTTGAAGTGGTCTGTGGTAGTAGTGATGGTCTGTGGTGGTAGTGGTGGTCTGTGGTTGTAGTGGTGGTCTGTGGTAGTAGTGGTGGTCTGTGGTGGTAGTGGTGGTCTGTGGTAGTAGTGGTGGTCTGTGGTAGTAGTGGTGGTCTGTGGTAGTGGTGGTGGTCTGTGGTAGTGGTGGTGGTCTGTGGTTGTAGTAGTGGTGGTCTATGGTTGTAGTGGTGGTCTGTGGTAGTAATGGTGGTTTGCGGTGGTAGTGGTGGTCTGTGGTAGTAGTGGTGGTCTGTGGTAGTAGTGGTGGTCTGTGGTTGTAGTAGTGGTGGTCTGTGGTTGTAGTGGTGGTCTGTGGTAGTAGTGGTGGTCTGTGGTAGTAATGGTGGTTTGCGGTGGTAGTGGTGGTCTGTGGTAATAGTGGTGGTCTGTGGTAGTAGTGGTGGTCTGTCGATGTAGTGGTGGTCTGTGGTTGTAGTAGTGGTGGTCTGTGGTTGTAGTGGTGGTCTGTGGTAGTAGTGGTGGTCTGTGGTAGTAATGGTGGTTTGCGGTGGTAGTGGTGGTCTGTGGTAATAGTGGTGGTCTGTGGTAGTAGTGGTCGTCTGTGGTAGTAGTGGTGGTCTGTGGTAGTAGTGGTGGTCTGTGGTAGTAGTGGTGGTCTGTGGTTGTAGTGGTGGTCTGTGGTAGTAGTGGTGGTCTGTGGTAGTAATGGTGGTTTGCGGTGGTAGTGGTGGTCTGTGGTAATAGTGGTGGTCTGTGGTAGTAGTGGTCGTCTGTGGTAGTAGTGGTGGTCTGTCGATGTAGTGGTGGTCTGTGGTTGTGGGATATTTGGGCTTGATTCTGATTAATTAATAATTAAAGTAATAAATTAAATTACGAAGGACCACCCGCTCTTAAAGTAAAGAGGGAAACTGAGAATTTCAGATCATTAGATAAAATTCTAGAGAAAACCAGTGACTATGGATATGACTAGAAAGTATGATCATAAGAATAATTAATGGGCTGTATTATTAAAGAAACAAACCTCAAACACCTACATTGGGGGGTTATTACTGGAGGTCAGTACGTCCAGGAATCAGTGTGGTTCGTTCACTAATTCAATTAATAATAATCTAATCCTATAAATAATGCTGAATATAATATTATTCATATAAAGAAGAACATGAATATGAGCATAGCAATGAGTTACAGTAAATCACACATTATGTTGAACATTCTGAATGTATCAAATTGTTAGAATATGGGAAAAAGAAATAAGCCTTAGCTTGTAGTAGGTTCCTTTAGATAACCCTGGAAGTCCTCTTAATCTCCAAGTCTGGTACACTGACGGATGGCACGGTTAACATGGAGAAGACAGCATGAGGAATTCGTCTCTCGAGCTGCAAGATAAATAACTACCAGTAGCAATTGATTTAACTACTCAATTAATATTCAAGATTATTGATATCTACAGATGGAATTCTAATCACCTGTTATTAGGTGTTATCTCGCCGCGTGACGCGCAATCACCCCGCTATTATTAAACCTGTAAATGATGCATCAAATAAAGGGTACTTAGCTGTGGGCACTGTATAAGTATTAAGATTGCCGTAATCTCGCATCCCAGGCTCCGGTGAACCTATCCTGGATTGATGCGTTTCAAGCTGGCTGATCACGTGTCGTCAGGAACCAAGTCTAGGGTCCCTCCTTTAACACCAGCACTAGTTGAAGATATTATCTGCAAGGTCGTTCACGCCTCACAGTGGCGGCTTTCATCTGCGGATGAATAACACCTGCCCAATTTGCTGGGCAATGGCGTCGTTTATGAGTACGGTAAGTACAGTTCTGCCTCCTTCCGGCTCTGCACGT